TGTGGGGGGGGGGACACAAGGAGGGGATGGTCATTTCTTAAGGCGTCACCCCATCAAAATGCTTTGTAGTAGTATGCTTTGTTAAGGCTGCCCCCTTAAAGGGCACAGAGAGCAGTATGCTTTGTTAAGGCTGCCCCCTTAAAGGGCACAGACAGCAGCAGACCTAGTGCCTGACCCATCTTTTTCTGTTTTGCTTTTTGCAAAAGCCTAGAAGAGCAATGGAGCTCCCTCTATAAGCTGTCATGCTCCGTAAAAAAAAAAGAAATAGCAGCACTACCAGCTGGGAATCATTACTGACCCTTACAGTAATGAATGAGTGTGTGTGCACGCGATGGAGGATGAGTGGTAAGGAAACATGAAAAGCATTTTTATAGCCAAGCAAAGTGAGAGAGAGAAGCACACCTCTCCGACTCCATGAATTGGACCTTTCTAGGGGCAGAGATTAGCAAGGGTAAAATAAGGCTAAGTCAGCTGGCAGCAGCGACAGGGGAATCACAACTTACAGAAGTTCTGCTCAAAGCCCCACCACTTCCTAGAGTCGTGCGGGGCTGCACAACTCAGTTTTTCTTTAAAATAAGAATTTCCAGCCAATCAAACTGGTGCTAATGTCTTCAGGCCACCCAAAAGACAGCGGTGAGGGTGATACTTCTCCAGGAAGCACCAGAGGATAAATGGGCTCCCTGCACCCTCCTGCAATGAGTGTGTGCAGAGCTCAGCAGTTCCCCAGCTCACCTGATGAAGTAGCAGCAGAAGATGAGGCTGAGCACAAAGACGAAGATGCCAGTGCCGAAAATGACCATGTAGATGTTCAGAGGCAGGTCCTGGAAGGTGATCGGAGGCATTGTGCACGATTTATTGGTATAAATCAGCCCCAAACTGCAGAAGCATCCTTTCGGGGAGAGAGAGAAACAGCCTTTACCATCAAGAAAAGGATGCGGAAGAGACGAGGGAGGCAAAGAACACTTACCCTTCACTGCAGCATGCACGAGGGAAATAAATACACCTTAATCTTCATTTTGGGGTACAGACTTTATGGGGGGGAAGGTGCAATTGCTGTCCTCTTGTCACATGTTGGGTCCTTCACTGGGTCTGATACATGGAGGACCTAACCCTGATACCCAGCTACAACTCAGTCTGCAGAGACTTGTGCATCGGTCTTTGGCGCTCTCCCTTCACATCTCTCTGGTGTACGAGGTATCTCATCACTGAGATGAATACCCTGTTTGTGGGAAGGACAGGCCTAATTCTCCCTCTAGCCCTTGAGCAGCTATTCCCTTGACTTTCCCTTCACTGCATCATAAAGTGTAGCTAGGCAGAGAAAAGTGACTCTAAAATTCGCCTCTGCTCCCCTGGCATCTCTCTGCATCCTGTTAGTCTCTAGTCCCATCTGCTCTCTTCACGGCTCTTTCTCCCATTAGCTCCAACCCAGATACAGGAGAGCAAACTAGTGTCTGTTCTGCTCCACTGCAACCTCTAAAGAACCGCCCATGCCAACGCATGGCAGACTCTTCGCCGGAGGCGCAGAATTGATATTTCGATCCTCAATGGACTTTGCAATGTGGGCAGAACATAAAACCAAGCATCATCTCACGGCCTGTAAATGAAAGAGTCCTGCCCTGAAGTTGTCCGAGAAAGAAACGCACAGCCCTGCTGTATCCTTTTTACAGCTGGTTGTAAGATGATTACTACACCTTAGGCACAATACCTCCATCTCAATGAGAACATCCCATAAGAGATGTGAAGCCTGGCAGGGGTTGTTGGGGACTACCCAAAGAAAGACACCTTTTTTCCTACCGCTCCTGGATTCTCAGCCCAGCACTGTTGTCAGCACTTCCCACGTCCACCTCTGAGCTTCAGGGGCAGTGATCCGAGTCCCGGGAGTTGCCTTGTGCGATCCATCGTACCTGCCATAAATTCCCAGTGTCCTGTCCTGAGCCTCAGCTGACATCCCTGATTCTGCTCAATTGTTTAATGGGGATTTGCTTCCATTTCAGCTGTTGATGTCAAACCCTTTTTTAGATGGGATAAACTTCTAAGACCCACACCTTGTATTAGCCCAGCTTCCCCTAGATCCAGGCAGGAGTTACTTCGATCAGTACAAATGATCAAATTGTACTATGGCAGCGCCTGGAGACTCCAGTCACAGACCTGGCCCTAATGTTGCCTAAACACAGAACAAAACCACAAGCCATGCCCTAAACACCTCCCCCAGTAAGCAGCTTCTTCACTCCACAGCACTACGGCTTCACACTAACGCACCTGCATGGATAGCTGGGATAGAGGCAAACCTCTGCCACATCAACAGTGTAGATACTACATGGTATGCTTGCAGCACAGCAAATTTTTTTCTTTGGTTATAGGTGCAGATCTCCCAAGGGCATGCCGACCATAATGCCCCCGGGCCTGGTTTTATTAAACCAATCATTCCAGCAATCCAGGCACTCAGAACAAAAACAGGCACGTGCTCCTTATCTCCACAGAAATGTAGCGTGCTGAGATGGAAGATTTATGGAAGGACAGAGTAATGCTTGAAAAACAGGGACAGTTGGTGTGTCATCACAGCACTGTGCTAGCATACCAGCGCCAGAAACAGAGACTGATGAGCTTCTTCGGAGCTCCTGGGGAATGGATGAATTCCCACTCTCAGCCCTGGAGCGCTGAGTGCACCTGACTTGAAACACATGGTAGTCAATGAGAGCCTTTCAGCTGACTGCAGGGTACTTTGGATCAGGCCTAAAACGCTCAAGTGCACAGGGGCAAACTCACCGCTGCCCTCCTCTAGCTCATCCCACATGCTAGACGTTTTACATTTCTACCCACAGGCTTATTCTCTTCTGCTGAGGATGCTCGCAGGATCCACAAGAGGTGCATCTGACTCAGGCCAACATCAACACAGCTCCTATTCCAGAGACAGCAGCACAGGAGTCCTAAGTGGGAGCAGAAGATGCTGGGAGGTGGGTAATGGCGCAGGAAGAATGTAAACCCAACGATGTGAAGGAGAGACAGGAAAAAACCTGTCGCAACAGACAGAACGCAGGGGAAACGGCAAAGCCGGTGTAAAGCAGCTCAGTTGGAAGCTGATGCAAAGCAAGACCCCGCCATTTGAAAGCCCTCTCTTTGTATGTCTGAACACAGCACTGACTCCATGCAAACGGGAACCTTGCCTTCACTTCCAGATCTCTGCGTCTCTGAACTGAGGCCCCATCTGCGTGCTGGAGCGCCTCTTCCTCCTGCCTTCCCACTCCAGCGCCTGCTCTGCTGAATCTCATTTAAACCCTCCTAGAGAAACACTTAAGGTTTTAATTACAGGCAGCTCAGTCCCATTTTTCCTCCTGCCTCTGGCAAGAGGGCAACATTTCCTCTCTACCACAGAGCTAGGAATGACCATGCCATCTTATTTCTGATCCCGGGAGGGCAGCTGAGGGGGCACGGAGGAGCTGTGATAGCTGTTCGCAGAGAGCAGCAGTGCATCTTCCCGGGGTAAGGTAGGAACTGCGAGCAGGGAGGGGACTGCAACTACAAGGGAACTGGGAGCCTGGAGAATGGTGTACGATCCTGGTGTCCTTGATGCCAATGGTAAAATTCACTTCAGCAGAGCCGAGATTTTACACTGACTCACTGTGGGAACCTAAGGAGGTCGTTGCGTCTTGCTTTGGTTTCAGCTGTTACTGAGCAGGGATAATGAGACATCTGTACTGGCAGAAAGGCATTGTTGGGATGAAGAAATCAGCATCTCTAACTGGTTGGAAGGTCCTTGGATGAAAGATGCTGTCTACAATGTCCGCTCCTCCTATTCTGCATCCCCAGACTTCCCTATATAAGGCAAATCTAACATTTTTGGAGCACTACAGGTATATCCAGAGCTTTATAAACACATGTAGAAATGGCTCCTGTCCCAGAGATCATGCGGTCTAAAGGCCACATTTTCACACTGCTACTACGCAAGGGTCGGACTCAAGGACTGCACCTGGGTTTAAAAGCAGGAGGGATAATTATACATCCAGTACTAAAATTTGTAGTTCTACAAGCCAAAATAAGCAGTGTCAGACCTCATGCTTCAGGGTGCAAACTGATTTCTCTGGGGGTCAAGACCGAAACTTCCTGTACCATTCCTACCGTGGACTGTACTGCAAACCGAGTGCCTTACAGGGCAAGTTTTGGGGGGCGCTATTTTGAAGCTTTAAGTAATTGTCAGACCTGATGGAGCACTGCCGGGTATGGCAGGAGACAGGGTACTTAGCTATATGCATCAGTGCTCTGTCCTTATGTGGCAGAGAGGGAATACAGGCTAATATAAAGTGGTGGTCTTTTCCCGTACAATAGGATATGGGGCAGCTCCATCCATCTCTTGTGTTTCAGTCTATCTCGTATCTTTGCCTACTTTCTTTTGGACCAAATCGATCTGTGGTCTCTGCAGACCTTTCCCTAGAAGAACAAGCCAAAATGCCCACAGTCCTATACCCCAGGGCATCAGAGGCAGGAAAAGACAATAGAGAGAAGTGGTCTCTTTTCTCTGCTGTGATGGAAACTAATCAGAAATGATCAAAACTTGACTAAATCAGCCACTTAAAAAAAACCCAACCCCAAATGACATAATAGTGGTATGTCATTTGGAACTCAGGCGTGAAAGCAGCTGTTACAGGATACAGGAGGGCCCATTAGAAGTCAGCCAAAAAAAGAGTGGTGACTAATAATGATAACTGACGATAAATACACGAGAAAGAGGATGACAAATAGAAGTCCGCAGCCGAGCTCAGTTCAATTTTGAAGCCGAGCAAGATGCTCAGAACCTGCTGGGAAGTGCCAGCTATTAGACCCAGGCAGGAGCTCAGCAGCAAGGTTTTCACACGCGCATACAAAATTGCCACCCAATTACACAGAGAAAGGGAATGTGAAGTGGCTCTCTGGGAACATGCTGGGTGCTTGCTGTGCGCTTCTGTTACGCTTTCAGATGCAGCATCGATCTGGGTGGTAGGACAGGCTGAGGCCTGTAAGTACCAGAGAGGAAGGGTGGCATTATAGTTAAGCCAGTGGGATAGAGAGCAGTAGGTTCAATTCCCAGCTCTGTTTTTGACTTGATGCATGACCTTGGGCAATGCAAGGCACCTCAGGCCTGGTTTTCCAAGGCACTCAGCTCTTGCCATCAATATCCAGCCATTTTTCCAAAGAGCCTGACTCTAGCCAGGTGTTTGAGAGCAAAAACGCTCCATTCGTGGTATCGCTTGCCCTGAATTGTTGCAAGGAGGGACTCTCAAGAGGGTTTTGTCCCTGGACAACCTAAATCTCCTCCTTACAAGCTGGGGGTAGTTGCAAGGAATCTAATTATCACTGATCGTCTAAAATGACCGAGGCTTGAGAGCAAGCCTCTTGGGCTCTTAACTGACCACTCATCTATAGGCAGTGGAAAATCCCCTCAGTTGGTGCTTGTGAGCCTTGTACTGCTAAGGAGAGAGGAAAGAGCTGACTTCTTTAACTTGACTGCTTTCATGTGAAGGTTGTTTGTTAACCTCCAGGGTTCCCATAGGAGAC